GAGTTTATAACTCGTCATATTTCTAACTGAAGTTCTATAAGTAGTCTTAACTTTAAAATAATTTTTCTAGTCAAGCTCATTATTTTTAAAACGTCATCTACTTCACCAATCTGTATGTTAACGTGGCCGGTACATGCGTTGTATTATATCTTCTCTATGTCATTTGAATTTAATAATTATTTGAACAGCCTTTTACGTTTTCCAATAGACCCATCAGAGTTGTTATTGCTATACGTGTTTGAGTCTAAAAAGACGTTTAACATAGGTAAGGTAATAAGGTGACCTCACTAAGGTAACGTATTACGCTGGTGTAATAACTAACCTATCACGTAATTGTTAGTCACGTAAGCGTTCAAAAAACACCTGTGCCTAGTATTAAAATTGACATTATGTAGATGAATATTTCTGGATTGGAATTAGTAATATAATCAGGCAGCTCGGATTAGTTGACGCTACGAACTTCTGCCATTTTGGAATCACCCAAAGCAGCAATACATATTTTCCAATGACCAATCCTCGATCAATAATACAACTAGTTAAACATAATGGTTTCAGGATATCGTCACAAAGCATTGTCATGACTTGACAATTACGTAATATGATTGATAAATTCGGTGAAACTATTAAAAAGTCTGTCAACATAATGATTTGTAATTACCTCTAAATAGTATTGTTTCGTTGCGGTTATCTCTGTCTATCAAAGATTATTTCAGTTTGTTTCTCTATCGGTTACACAATCAATAAATATCTTAAAACCTTGTCAGTCTAATTGGCGGTTTAGCGACACAATCGTGCATACAAATAATCAGTATTAGCAGTCAAGTAACTCTCCTGCAAACTGAAAACACTGTTAAATTTACGCCAACACTGACTAAGATTCAAGCCATTATCATATACATGAATTGGGAATGTTACCTCCCTTGATTACAACTTATTTTCTCCCTGATTATCACAAGAGCATCACTTACTGTTTATCATCTTGTAAACATTTATTTAGCCGGAATTATCTCATAATATCAAATCACACATTTGTGGCACATTGACTGTGTTGACTTTAACAACCTATAATCACTCTATTTCAAATAATCCTTTTTCTACTTTATGATAAATTTCATACTTGCAACTAACGTTTATGCACCAACAGCCGATAGGTATGAATATTAAAAATTAGTATTTTGCAAATCAGAACATTGAGTCTAGAGCATATCTCACACGGATACACTCATGTTTAACGTATTTCGCCTGGCTATCTGTCAAAAATACACACGATTATTACTATTTTCACGTAAAAGAACTTTTGATAACCAATAATATGTGTCAGTATTTTTATTGTCCTATCTCGAGTAAACAATGATGAGGTCGAGAAAATCTCCCCAAGACTAAATAAATCGTATTAAATTTGACAAGCTGACTAGAACACTAGTTGAAGTTGTTCTTTTCCTCGGTTATACTTTTGTTCTTTCAATTGGCCTACTAATGCAGGTGCCCTTGGAAATCAACCATACAGAAAGCTTACGTTATTTGACTTTTTAAGTTGAACCAAAAATAATACCAATATCAGCATTTATACAATATTGTGTGATTAGTTCCCTTTATGAATTTAAATAAAGCCAGAACAAATATAGATGCAAAATAATATGAATTCATTACATTTCGTGGTTTCGCGTCAGCTGTTTACAGCCAAATATGTATTGGAATTTTACATTGAGATAAGAAATAGTATGAAACAATTGACATAAGTGAATGTAAAGGATTAAAATGACAAAATTTATCAAAGATAACTATACATATATATATATATATATATATATATATATATATACAAAAGCAGGTCAGAGGTTATTTGGTGTTAGAATGAAGGAAACATTAAGAATGGATGATGTAGTAATTGAGTGGAGTTCAGAGACAGATAAGATAAATTGTGTGATAATTTCAGAGGTAATGAAGGATTCATGGAATTAAAAACTGAAAAAATGGGTTACGTAATAATTGAATAGATTTCGAGGAGTTCACATAATTTAAGAGAATGAAGTGAGCGGAAATGTGTGAGTGAAAGGGTGATTTAAGAATTCGGCAATGAAAGAGGAAAATAACACATACTAAACATGAACAAAATAAAAATAATAACTAATAACCGGATTACCAGGGCAGTAATAAGTTTATTACTGTCTCTTTTTGAGTACATAGATACGGCTTGAGCTTTTTATCGCGATCGCTTCTCAACAAATAATCTTTGACCTGTTCTTGCATATATATAGTTATCTTTGATAAATTTTGTCATTCCAATCCTTTACATTCACTTATGTCAATTGTTTCATACTATTTCTTATCTCAGTGTAAAATTCCAATACATATTTGGTTGTAAGCAGCTGACGCGAAACCACGAAATGTAATGAATTCATATTATTCTGTATCTGTTTTTGTTTTGGCTTTATCTATAATATTGATTGTATTTGCACTTCTAAACATAAATGCTTGTACTGCCCATAAGTTAAGATATTGACCAACGGCTATTATTACGCATCTTACGGCGACTTATTAAAATATCTTTACACAGAATCATGCTTAGTTGTTATAACCTCACTGGTTCAACTCCTATATAATCTTCACGTAGATTTCCATTTCGCGCGTGCTATGAATTAAACCAAAATGTCGGAATTATAACATGTATATCTCGATCAGTTGCTGTCGCATACTTTTTGACTTATCTTTCAGCTTATCGTTACCCGAAGTATAATTATTTTTCTTGGTAACTTCCCGCGCGCAGCAATCCCATTCCATTTTGTATCGAACTAACGTCACATTAATTCTGGTGCGAGAGTAGTGTAATGGCATTAGACCGTAACCACACGACCTTTTAGGCTGACCATAGAATTACTGAAAAGTTTTATATTCAACAATTGATACTGAGAGATGATCAACAATAGAGAAGGAGGGAAGAATGAATTCAGTTATTCAATCGGATGGCATGGCTCAGCCTTGCAGAAGTGGTCATTTTGCATAACTTGTCTTTACTCTTATCAAATGTATTATTTTTATTCTCAGCCTCAATGTGTTCTTCGAAAGCACTAGACGTTATATACCTTATTCTTATGGTACGATGAGTTAGAATAGACAATGATGTGACTTCCACGTAAGATCTTACGAATTAGGCAGTCACATCATGACACACCTACAATTTTAGGATTACGTCTATTGTAATAATGGTATCAATAAAGAAACAAACCATAATTCTACACTTCTGGTAATATATGGTCATTTCTATTTTCCTTGTTCTTAAAAAGTTTGAGATAAAGATTGTTTAGAACAGTGGTTAGATACTTATATGGTAATAAATCGTGAATAGTTTGGGTGAGGTCATGTTCCATTTGAGTACTCTTAGAATGGCCACTGAAAAAAGTACTGGAGTTTATATTGAGTTTGTCGTGATCGGCATGGTTGCATACAGATTTGTTGAATGTTTCTATTACGTGGTCAACTTGTGAATACGTAGTTGAGGAATTAAAAATATGTGTTCGGGCGAGCAGTCAAGATCCACATCACTGTGCTGTTTATTGCAGGCAGACTTACTTGGAATCTGTGAGATTCTATACAAGGTGTTCGATTGTGGGTTTGTTGAGTGTTTGAGGCCAGCCACACATTCTAAAAACTGCTCGCAGCTAGTGATACTTCCGGGTAAACTGTAAGAAGTGCCAAATAATGTCTTGTCACACAGTTTGTGCTTGGTTTTTAGAATTTATACGTTAGATGCAGGGCAGGGAAAGGTCATGACTAAGTAATTAGTGCACGTTTAGTGTATATTCAGAAAGGTCTGAGTACGATATGGATTGCTCAGTGTGTTTATGTAGCTTTACATCATTCACTTTTGTTCGGGCTTTAAAAGCATAGGGGGAGATGAGCTGGACATAGTTTGAAGAAATTTAAATATGAATAGAGTTTATATTGACACATGTTAGAAGTGTTGGGGTGTCTAACAGCATTGTGGAAGTAGGTGAAGCTGAGATAACTTTTTTGCTCGTAGTAACCACTAGCTTATCGAGACTGATGTTGGGAGTAGATATCCTAAGAGAAGCAAAAGCGGTAGTTGACTTAAGAAGCGGTAAGGTGGTCGCAAAGTACGGTTCATTATCAGTACACAACAGTAGCGAAGTGGCTGATATAAGAGTTGAAACGAACGTCTCGACGAAGAAACCAAACATTAACGAGTTATGCACAAAGTATGAGAAACTGTTCACTGGAGATGCAGAGCCGTGTGTATTTTGTGACAAAGTAAAGCACGAAATCCCAATAAAGAACGATCGGGTAAATATACTTGCAACACGTCGTGTTCCGGTGCATTTAGAGGCCGAGGTAAACCGACATGCCCAGGAGATGTTGAAAGAAGGTATAATTAAGGAAGCAGACATCCCGTATAGCTCGCCGGTACTCTTGGTAAAGAAACGGAATGGAAAGCATAGATTTTGTGTCGATTTTAGAGAACTGAATAATATAACAGACCTGAAACCTTGTGCAATGCCAACAGTGGTGGAAACATTAGATGAGCTACAGAATGCTTCAGTATTTTACGGTCAGGTTATTGGCAACTGCCCATAAAAAAGAGCGATCGAAGCAAGACAGAATTTGCTTTACGTGATAAACGAATGACGTTCGGATTGGCTGGTGCACCGTTTGCAATCAGAAGATCAATGATGCTACTGCTCAGGGATCTAGATAACGTCTAGGCATTTGGCGACAATGAAGTTGTGTGCAGCCAGTCAGAAATAGATCACGTCAAGCATGTATAAGCAGCCTTGAAGCGAATTGACGAATTTGGATTTCGAATTAAAAAGGACCACCCAGTCCGCCCACTGGGCTTGCAAAGGTTGCGGCAAGAGTCTCACTATTCTTTCCAAGGTAACTAAGGAATTTAGATCAGAAGTATAATTCATCTGTTCCAAGACCATGGCACAGTTTTCCATTTTAATAGCCAAGTTGGATAGTTGGTCCCCATCAATATACTCAAAATTCACAGCACTGAATAAGTCCTCTAGTGTTTCTCTAGCAATTACGTGAGACTGTCCGAAAGAACGTTTTAAAATCTCCCTTGCTCTTTTATAGCCAGAGGATGCCTCCATCATGACGCAACCTTCAATAGCTGCTTTAGCCTTGCCCTTACAGTAGTGTATCAAATAGAGCAAGCGCTGGCTATCATCCGTGACTCTCGATGCTACATACGTCTCAAATTGCCTTATAAATTTCCAATAACCTCTTGGCTCTCGATCGAAATAACTCAGTTCAACCTTTGGTAGCTCTGGGCCAACAACATGAACTATAGGCGACATGCTCTTTCCTAGTGATTCAGGCCTTTGCTCCTCCTTTAAACTAAGATTTTTTACATCATCTGACATCGAATTAAGGCTAGAATCACTGCCATGATAATTAACCCTATTTAAGTCTGAACCATGACCCTTAAGGACATCAAAAGGTACTTGCTTGACGATAGGGGATTCTTCGTTAACATCGACGAACTTTGAGCCTGATCTCCGACGACGATTAACTGGCATTATAAGCGACACGACCACTTATTTCCAGAAAATCCGTGAACGATTACCAAAGGATTTCGGCCAAGTAATATTTGTTTAGAACTGTAGGGAAACGACCAAATATTTTCAAGAAGGATAACCAAAATCGACGAAACGATTGCCAAACGCCTTTGACCAATTAATATTTGTTTAGAACTGTAGGGTCCAAACCACGTTTGGACTGCTGGACAGCTGGCTGGATAAGTTCGATACGCGCCCTCGCCCGTTTGAAACCAAAACAAGGTAATTGGGTAAGATAGCGGTTCTATAATTTATCATGAATTTAAGTATACATTATTACCTAAACAAATATAACCACACAGCTATCCAACCAATAATTGTTTAATTGATCAAATCTAAACAATCACCACAAATAAATGTTATTCTATCCTGTCTGGATAGATCACGTACAGATTCGTTCAAAAGGTAATAATTGGTCGCTCTATAACACAGAGTGTTTTCAATTCTGGAAGAGTGCTTCAATTCACAACCAAAATGCACAATTCCAGTCAACACAGGTCAAGCAATCCAAAGCAAGGATAAACCAAAATGGCTGCCGCCCAGACTTAGTATAAAGTAAAACAACATAAGTGCAGTTCGGGAAGAAACATGGGGAATTGGTGAAGGTGTAGTAAAAACGAAACTATAATAAAATACAAGTATTAACAATTCAAATGTAGTCAAAATGTTAACAATGTACAATTAAAAGAATCAATAGGAACAAAGTGTAAGTATATACATGGAGGGATTTTCACAAACACACAAGGCATTCAAAATGGATCTTACACCGGCCCCCAAAATCCCTCCATCTCACACAAGCTACCTTGATGCCTATGGTCATGATTCATTATATAACATATCACACCATAGGAACGAGTAGGACTTACAACAGTACGCCTACTCGACCTAACTACATCAATAACAACAAAGACTAATCCAAAGCTTCAAGGAGACCTGCTTCACCTGTTCTCTTGTGATCAACAATAACAGTCTTGGTATATGCCTAATCACTCTTCCCCAAATTACACCCATGCTGTTGGATGAGGGCGGGTTAAAATGCCATTGAATTTGTCTAGCTGACAGTTCTTTGTCTATTTTCTGTTGATTCAACTGTTGCACAAATCTCCTTAATTCAGAGACCGCACCCACGAAATTTGATCCATCGTCACTGTAAATTTTGGCAGGTTTCCCTCTTCTTCCAATGAAACGTAGCAAGGCCATTATAAACGAATCAGTATTCAAACTATGTGTCATTTCAATATGTACTGCTCGGGTTTGCAAGCAAGTAAATACACATCCATATCTTTTTTCTAGTGATCTTCCTCTTTTGACAAAAATGGGTCCAAAGTAGTCTACTCCCACGGCTGAGAAGCTATACCATCCTTGTTGCACTCTACAAGCTGGAAGTGGTGCCATCAATTGTTGCCCTGTAACCATCGTATACCGCCGGCATGTCACACACTTTCCTATCACTCTCCTAACCGTGCTGGTTCCTTTTATTATAAAATACCTTTTTCGAATCGTGGCCAGTACTTGTGACGTTCCTGTGTGCCCTTGTTCCTTATGATAATGTCTAATTATCATTTCTGTCACTAAGTGTCGACTGGGCAATATTATTGGATGTTTAAAAGCATTTAAGAATTCTGAGTAGCTTAGACGACCTGTAACACAGAGCAATCCATCAAGCATTATCGGTGATAAGCCTTTCAGATCATCATGACTTACTACCTTACTTCTGTTTCTAAATTCACTAAATAATTCTCCACACACTTCCTTTTGAACCATCAATAAATTCTTACCCTCGGCGATGTCAGGCTCCTTGACCTTTAAACATCCTAGATGAACGGATCCTTCACAACTCGGTAAACGAAGTACCATCAGGAATTCGATGAACCTTCTAGACCAGGTTACAGCTCTGACTAATTTCAACCACTCGGAATAATAAGAGAGAATAGGTGTCATGTTGTACTTTATACTACTCAAGTTAACCACAGCAGTTTTTCTAAACTCAATATCGTCAGGAGTAGGTTCCGGACAGTCAGTGATTGCTGTACAAAACTCGCCATGCATTAAAGTAGGACATTTGAACCAAAGCTCAAGATCAGTCATTTTTTGTATACCTCCTCTACATAATAATTCACCTATCTGCTTAACGAAACTCTTTGCTTGATCACAACGTGGAAAGGATATCAAGCAATCATCAACATAGAAATTATTCTTGACAGCACTTACGACATAACCATCATAACCGTCAGAGAATATTTGAGCCGTCTTATTCAAGGTAAAGTTCGCACGAAACGGCGATGATATGGCACTAAATGGATGAGATGTCATTTGAAACTCAGATGGTTCCCTCGACATGTCTCCCTCCTGCCACCACAGAAATCTTGAAGCTCCTCGATCAGACTCAGAGACCAATTGCATGAACATTTCTTCAACATCTGCAGGGATTGTAACTGCCTCCTTGCGAAAACTTAATAATATACACATTAACTCATCAGTGGTATCGGGTTCTTGATAAATCATATCATTTGTGGAAAACCCTGCAAACTCGGCGGCACAATCAAGGACCACTCTAAGTTCCTCTGGTTTTTTCATGTTTAACACTGCATGATGAGGTAAATACCCTCGAGGGCGATAATTAGGCTGCAAATATATTTCAAGGACCCTCTCCGCATAAGTCTTAGTAAAATTACTTTCAATACTTTTGATGTACCTGATGTTCAGGCTGACGTCCTTCGACAACATACCTTTCAAACTTTGTAATCTACGGTTTGCTACTTCATAATTATCCACTTTCATATTTGGATTCTTTTTCCACGGTATAGAAACTACAAAATGACCGTTGCCGAAGTGCGTGCCCCCTTCCACAATCTTTATAGCCGCCTTGTCGTCTACTGATAATGATTTATCACTTGAATAAGCATCTGAAAACTCATCATAAAGCTTACGTATTTCGTTCTCCAGTGTCTGTACCTTACTGATATGATTAACAACTCTTTTCCTATATTCCGAGCATGATGGCTTATCATTTACGACGTTGCTTGTCGAGTCAGTGTGCAGCAGAACGTGATGTCTCTTCTTACAACTGTCAACGTTACAGAGCCTTGTCATCTTACATTCATTAACCTTATGTCCTTGTCTAAGACAAACAAAACAGATACCCTTGCTTTTAGCGTGAGACCATCGGTCTTGAACTGTAAGCGCTAAGAACTGTGGACATTTATCAATAGCATGGTCGTAGGAACACATACTGCATTTAGTTTTCGTTGTCGAACTATTCCCTTGCTCTGATTGCACGTGACAGTTCGTCTTTACGTTATGTCCTTTTCTTGAACGGTTTGCTAACCGTCCAAATCTACTACAAGCCACTCTCGCACGCGATGCGATAAACTGAGTGAGCTCGTCGAAGGTCGGTTCCCTGTTATCTTCAGTCAATTTATCCACCCAGTCCGCCCACTGGGCTTGCAAAGGTTGCGGCAAGAGTCTCACTATTCTTTCCAAGGTAACTAAGGAATTTAGATCAGAAGTATAATTCATCTGTTCCAAGACCATGGCACAGTTTTCCATTTTAATAGCCAAGTTTGATAGTTGGTCCCCGTCAATATACTCAAAATTCACAGCACTGAATAAGTCCTCTAGTGTTTCTCGAGCAATTACGTGAGACTGTCCGAAAAAACGTTTTAAAATCTCCCTTGCTCTTTTATAGCCAGAGGATGCCTCCATCATGACGCAACCTTCAATAGCTGCTTTAGCCTTGCCCTTACAGTAGTGTATCAAATAGAGTAAGCGCTGGCTATCATCCGTGACTCTCGACGCTACATACGTCTCAAATTGCCTTATAAATTTCCAATAACCTCTTGGCTCTCCATCGAAATAACTCAGTTCAACCTTTGGTAGCTCTGGGCCAACAACATGAACTATAGGCGACATGCTCTTTCCTAGTAATTCAGGCCTTTGCTCCTCCTTTAAACTAAGATTTTTTACATCATCTGACATCGAATTAAGGCTAGAATCACTGCCATGATAATTAACCCTATTTAAGTCTGAACCATGACCCTTAAGGACATCAAAAGGTACTTGCTTGACAATAGGGGATTCTTCGTTAACATCGACGAACTTTGAGCCTGATCTCCGACGACGATTAACTGGCATTATAAGCGACACGACCAATTATTTCCAGAAAATCCGTGAACGATTACCAAAGGATTTCGGCCAAGTAATATTTGTTTAGAACTGTAGGAAACGACCAAATATTTTCAAGAAGGATAACCAAAATCCACGAAACGATTGCCAAACGCCTTTGACCAATTAATATTTGTTTAGAACTGTAGGATCCAAACCACGTTTGGACTGCTGGACAGCTGCCTGGATAAGTTCGATACGCGCCCTCGCCCGTTTGAAACCAAAACAAGGTAATTGGGTAAGATAGCGGTTCTATAATTTATCATGAATTTAAGTATACATTATTACCTAAACAAATATAACCACACAGCTATCCAACCAATAATTGTTTAATTGATCAAATCTAAACAATCACCACAAATAAATGTTATTCTATCCTGTCTGGATAGATCACGTACAGATTCGTTCAAAAGGTAATAATTGGTCGCTCTATAACACAGAGTGTTTTCAATTCTGGAAGAGTGCTTCAATTCACAACCAAAATGCACAATTCCAGTCAACACAGGTCAAGCAATCCAAAGCAAGGATAAACCAAAATGGCTGCCGCCCAGACTTAGTATAAAGTAAAACAACATAAGTGCAGTTCGGGAAGAAACATGGGGAATTGGTGAAGGTGTAGTAAAAACGAAACTATAATAAAATACAAGTATTAACAATTCAAATGTAGTCAAAATGTTAACAATGTACAATTAAAAGAATCAATAGGAACAAAGTGTAAGTATATACATGGAGGGATTTTCACAAACACACAAGGCATTCAAAATGGATCTTACACTCCCGAAATCATCCTCACCAAGTATGCACTATTATAAAACAGTATTCCTTCAGAAATACGCATGGTGGATAGACTACATGCGTTTTTAAGACTTCTTGATGAAGCCCCTAATTACACTGATCTCTTAGCATGCACAAACACATCTGCGCTATCACTAGCCCTCTGCATGTCGTAATCGTATCAGTATCTAACTTTCGTTCCTCTTTCTCTTCTTCTTTGAAATTGTATCAGACACGTTGCAACAGCTTTACGTCTCTTTAATTTTTACTTGAAGCAAACAGATGACCCACGGACCTATTGATAATGCTTAGTTATAGCTGGTCGCAAGGGATGCTCACCACTATCCTCAAGGGTTGCCAAGTGAGCCCCATGATTTCTTCACTTCTACTGTAGTGAACAGAACAGGGGTGGGGAAAACCGGATGTATTTAGTACAAAATTACGGAGTTACTTGGTAAAATAGAAAAACCAAATAGTAAATCGTTAATTTGCAAAATATCATTCCATCATATCAAACCGGACTGCTGCCGTTGCAAACATCAATTCCTTGTCTTACATTTCATGGTTCATACGATTTCTTACAAATTCCATTGTGTTCTCGCTCTTCCTTCCCTGACCTTCCCCCGTCTTCTGCTGCCAGATATCACGTTCTTTAACTCGCGTTATATACTACTTATATTAATACAAGTAGCACGCACCTCACACCGAGCGGTCTTGTGTCTATAGATTCCGTCATCCATGACTCCGTTTGATAGCACAAAGGGCCATTAACTTCACTTGCATGTGAGTTCCTTCTTATCTGGTGTTCATCAGTTTAGCATTTTGCGCCAAAAGCTCCTTTTTTTACCCCAAATATCATTGGTTTGTTTCCTATTTCAGTACGCTATTTTGTGACGCTTGCTAAGGATACATACATGAGTTGCGTGCTTGTTCGTCTGTGCACCCCAGCTGCTTGTGAAGTATGTACTTTTCCGGTTTAATATGATCTCCTGCTAGTTAACTGGGCTGAGGCGCAACCGAATAGCTTGTGAAGTCCTGTTAATGCGTGTTGAGACAGCACTAATCGATTAGATCCCCATTAAAAGTCGGTTATGTGCTGTTAGATTAGACAGTTCCATCAAAGTAAGAACAGATCAGTGTGAGAAACGATGCATTTTCGTCATCTCCCATACTACGACAGATTGCAGCCCGGATGCGATAAAGGATGAGCTTTAACATCAGCTATCAGTTCTTCTCCATAAAGTGCGTTCGACAGATATTGTAGTACTAGCTGGAGACTTGAATGCTCGGGTCGGGCATCTAGGCACTGAAGAGGATCGTCTACGTGGCCAATGGGGACTTGTTGATCGCAGGACAGATAACGAGGACCGTCTACTGCAACTGTGCACAGACCACAACCTGTTTCTGGCTAGCACTAACTTTCGGCACAGTCATCGCCGATGTGCCACCTGGCGTCCTCCCTCTGCATCTCAAGCCTGGACTCAGATTGATCACATCGCGATCAGCTATCGCTGCCGTGGTTGTGTACAAGACTGCCGCTCCTTTTGGAGTACCTATCTGGACTCTGACCATGCCTTGGTCTGCGCCAATCTTGCCTTACTTTTCAGTGGCCAACGAAGTGACCACCACCAAAAGATTGATGTTAGCAAGCTGGTTGCAACTTCTGTTGCAAGTAAGTATCGAACCGAGCTAGCCTCTAGGCTAGCTACCACTCCACCGAAAAGTATAGATGAGCATTGGTTGCAATTGCATGACGCCATGAAAATGGCGGGAACAGTCAGTTGTGGGTTTGCGAAACGTCCCGCTTATAAGCACTGGGTTTCTCCAGGTTCCTTACAACTCATTGAAGCCCGTCGGTCTACTCCGGGTGACCGTGAGTTTGACCATAAACGAAGGATGTTACGTAAGGAAATTGGGCAAAGCTTGCGTAAGGACCGAGAAGCCTGGTGGTCGATGCGTGCTAATGAGCTGGAAGCAGCAGCTGCATCTGGTAACTGTCGAAGGGTCTTTGAATTCATCCGAGCCACTGGCAGCAAGAAGCTTGGTTTGAACGAAACAATCTGTGGAGATGACAGGATGCCAATCACCAACATCTGTCGACGTCTTGGACGATGGACTGATTGCGTTGTTCACAAACGTTCGGCAGTTAGAGTGTTCTAACATCATGGACTGAGTCGATCGCTGTCCCAACCGTTAAAAATGGATCACATCGTTTTTGTAACGACTATCGGGGGGCAAGCCTACTTCCAATTGCGTCCAAATTATTGGCTCCCGTCACACTTTGTAAATTGTTCAAAACCCCAGAAAGATTGACTCAGGCTGTTTTTCGTTCTGGTCGAGGATGTATTGACCATATCTCACCCCCTGCCAAATGTTATAACACCCCCATACCCATCACAGGCGAAAAATTGTAGTGTTTCTTGACATCAAGGACAGGAAGGTTCTCTGGGATTTTCTATTGAAGAAGTGTGTGCCTGAAAAGTTTGCACCCCGAGCAGAATGAGGGCATACAACCACCTCTCTCCATCGTTCCATTCAGGCTGTGGGGTTAGACGGGGTTGCTCAAGCTCACCATTCCTCAACTTTGCAAATTGACGACGTTCTGGAAACAGTTCTGATGAATGTAATTAATGACGGTGTGAATCTGTTGCCTGGAGAGACTACTAGACATGAGCATGCGGATGGTATTTCCTACTGTGCAATAATACTTAAGCTATGTTATCCGCACTTAACCAGTTGGCAATTAGTGTTCGTAGGTATGGTATGTGCTTCTCACCCTCTAAGTGCAAAGTACTTTCACAAGACTGACAAGACCCCGTGTAGAATCCAAACTACGGTTTGGATGTTGAAGAATAGCCTTCTGTGACTTTAGACACGCGCCCTTCCCCGTCGAAATCAGAACAAGTAATCGGGTAAATAGCGGCTCTATAATTCATCATAAATTTAAATGTAAATCGTTACCTAAACAAATATTACCACCCGGCTATTCAACCAATAATTGTTCAATCGATCAAATCTAAATTACAATAAATAAAGAAGTTGATAGAAGATGAGGAAAAATTACCAGTTACAACAAATGAACGTTATTCTATCCTGACTGGATAGATCACACACAACAGGAGGAGCAAATCAATATGGCTACCGCCAAGAACAAGTGTCAAGTAAAACAACACAGATGCAGTTCAGGAAGAAACGCAAACTTAGTGAATGCGTAATAAAAACAAAACTATAATAAAAAATACAAGTATAAACAATTCAAATGTAACCAAAATACAACAATGTACAACTAAGGGGATCAATAGGAACAAAGTACAAGTATATACATGGAGGGATTTTCACCAACACACAAAACATCCAAAATGGATCTTACACCCCGATCCTGCACTCACCCTGGGTAGTGAGCAGACAGAACTCGTCGAGAAGTCCGTGTATCTGGGAGGCTGCATAAGTACTGGTGGTGGCGTGGGTGATAAGATCAATGCACGAATAGTGAAAGCCAGATCGGCTTATGCCAATCTGAGCCATCTTTGGCGCCTTCGTGATGTTAGTCTGGCTGTAAAAGGCCGGATCTACAACACGTCGGTGAGAGCAGTTTTGCTCTATGCTTGTGAAACCTGGCCTCTCCGAGTTGAGGACGTTAGACGACTCTCTGTGTTCGATCATCGCTGTCTCCGAAGGATTGCTGACATTCAGTGGCAACACCATGTCAGTAATGCAGAGGTTCGGCATCGTGTGTTCGGGCACAGAGATGATAATTCAATTGGTGTCACCATCTTGAAACACCGACTTCGGTGGCTTGGACATGTTCTACGAATGTCGTCCCAGAGAATTCCGCGTCGTGCATTATTTGCCGACTCTGGGACTGGTTGGAAAAAGCGGAGAGGTGGTCAGTTTTTGACATGGTGTCGTGGTATGAAACAAAGCTGTACAGGACTGGCTTCCGTCGGTCCTTCACAACTCCCTTGTTGGGGTCCTAGAGATGGTGTAACACAGTGGCTAGAGACATTATCAGATATGGCTCAGAATAGAAGCCAGTGGCGATCGTGCTGTAACCTTCTTTTACTATCTCCATAAAAAGTGGTTGTATCTTCTTTACCTGAAAGATTTCTTCTGATTGTACCTTTCCGTTCCCTCATTACTACCACACTACCTTACACCAACCTCTTCGTTATTGTTCTCTTTTTTCTTTTTCTTGC